TATTCACAGTTTCAATAATAACTTGCTATTGCATGGTTAGCATATTCACAGTTTCAATAATAACTTGCTATTGCATGGTTAGCATATTCACAGTTTCAATAATAACTTGCTATTACATGGTTAGCATATTCACAGTTTCAATAATAACTACACAGACATCATAATCATAGAAGATCAGGCTAATATGGGTAAGGGCTATCTATCTGAACTTCTCAATTATAGTGATACATGATGAAAAGTATGTGGCTTGTCTTTATCATGTTGCAAAGAACATTTGCTAGAAGTAGACAGATACTGATCTAGTAACATGATCAGTTACAAGTTACTCACATGTCATTTAGGAACAAACATTATATTTCTTTCAGAACATCCCTCTTAAATAATCAGAATTAGTAAACTTTCAACCATTATCACACTACAAATACAATGAAAAGTTAAGTATTATACAAATAAAATTAAGTTTCAACTATTGATATAAAGTCAGCAAATTTACATTTCATAATTTAATATCTATTTCAGTTAATTCTTTGCTATCACTTGAAACACTTAAGATGGAACTATTGTGATAATTATTCAAGCCTTAAGAAGAACCTAAGATAAAATATAACTAATTTTACTCTGGTAAACAAAATATGAACAAACTTCCTCATGATGATAAAACTTAGTACTTGGTAATCAAGTACGAGTTAATTTTTCTTAAATATAGATGCTGGGCATGTAGAATTGTAACCTATACTCACATATTTCTCAAATATTTCTTAATATTTGGTAGTAAGTGTCTAGTTGTATTTTAAATGCCCATTGGAAAACACCTGCAAGTGAATTCACTGATCTAAATTTCTTCACACTTCTACAAAAGTACCTAACATACTTGTATTTTTTTTTACATTTTTGTACAGGAGTCATTATCAAGTAAATTATTTCCTCTCTTCGAATTTGTTGTGATGCACTAGAACTAATTCCTGTTTACTCACTGTTATTGGTAATACAACTCTCAATAAATTACACTGTTTAGACCTAAAAGTTAACATAATGAGCAATGTAAAGTACTCATAAGCTACCCAATTATTACAGTACAGTGAGTTACATTGATAACTCATCTTGGCAGAAGCTAATGTGTTAATCTAATATCCCATTTGGTAATGGTTGCTCATTTTTTGTAATCTTGTTGAGCTTGGGATCAAATCCCAGGAATGACAAGAGTTAGAAATACTAAAGTACATTTATTTATACAATTCTTTACTATAATAGTAAAGAAAGAAGAATTATGCAGTCAGTTGTTATAAGGCTTAGATCTTTAAAAACTCCTGATAAAATATGAGCTTTTGACAGTTGGATGTGTCTTCAGGAATAAAGGTATAATTGTTAGTCTTGTTATGCTAAGTAATAAATCTATTTCATTCAATTATAAGCATGCAGGCATACTTACTCCTAGTTTGCGACTGCATATTCTGACATATCCCTGCTTAACAATATCTCCCGTATCTGTAGCCATTTTCTTTCTATTAGTAAAGTAGAATATTCATGATATTCTCATCTGCATGGGTAAAAATAAAAAAATGAAATTATTTATATTACTCACAAATTAATCTTTTAAAACAAGGTGTGTGAACTTTACAAAGTATTTGTGTATATATGCTCTTTAAACTCCATTAATACACTTTGAGAGTGTCTGATGAAAAAAGTATTTCTAAAACCAGTAACATTTGACCCATTAACATCACCCCTAAATTATAAAAATAAAGCAATTAAGTGAAAAATAAATGTAATGTTAAGCCCTTCACATCCATATAAAGTGAAATATTGCCCCCCAGTAGTACAGCGGTATGTCTGCGGACTTACAACGCTAGAATCCGGGTTTCGATACCCGTGGTGGGCAGAGCACAGATAGCCCTTTGTGTAGCTTTGTGCTTAATTTCAAACAAACAAAAAGTGAAATATTAAGGGTAATAAGTTTAAGTTTTGGAAAACTTGTTCTTTGACTTTTTATAAACTAGTGAAATGGTTTATCCAATGTTAGTTTTAACACATTAGTTTTAACTTCTTTAGAATTTTGTTTGATAAGAGTATTTCAAACAATATCATTCCTCCACTCAAACAAAGTACACATAAAAATATCATCTAAATCACTAAGAATTGTGAACGTGTAATTCAAGTCTTCTTTAATTCTTCCAAGTTCTAGAGAAAAACTTTTCTTAAAGGCTTTAAATATTTAAATTGGATATACTATTAACAAATTTTATTTGCTCTTTTCACTACTACTAAACACTTAGATTATTTGAAAAAGCTATTTTTAACTATCTATCTGTCACTAATCAAACCTAAATCTTTCAAAATATCAATGCTCATTCCAATGTAAAAAGAGGAAGCTCTTTCCAAAATTCCATACCCAAAATAGGACTTTAAACTTCTCTACATAAAACCTATCTATAAAGTATCTTAGTAGCATAAGGAATTAGAAAAGCACTGTTCAAGTTACTCAAATTGTTGACATGAGTAGTGAACAAAGTTTCCAAAATAGATATTTGACGAACCTCACTAGTCACATTCTTCCGCATTTCCACTGAGAAAAGTATCCATTCACAAGCAACTTCTTACTCACCACCCACTAAGCTAATTTTCTACCTACTCTTAACTTTCATACCAGTTTGATAAGATACTAGATTCTGTATCAAAGTGCTTCTTATTAATTTGAGTAAGGAGTAAAGCTTTACTTCTGTGTTTTACTTTAGTATTCACAGTAGACAATCAAAGAAACCAGTAGATTTTCTTAATTGAGTTATGATTTCATAAAGATTGGTTATAATAACATGACATTGTAATCAAGCAACAAACAAAAGAAAGATCAAGATGACAGAAGACCATTTAATTCATGATCAACTCTCCATCCACCAGGACAAATAAAAGTACAAAACTATATAAAATGAAGCCTTACACATTCGCATCTATATCCAACGAATATTTGCAGTTATTCTACTCAGCATTACCACATCTATGCCTATACAAGAGAAATATATTTTACAAAAGAACAGGTCTGGACCCAGGTTTCTAAAGATTTAACTTTATATCCTTTATACTGAAGTTAACATTTCCAACATTTTCGTTCTACCACACAAGTATACAATTTTTCCAAAATCATAAAAGTATTTTCCTCCACTGGAAAGCAGTTAAGGGTTCATTAAAGTGTAGCTAACTAAAAATATTGTTAGAAATTGTTTAAATAACCTGACTTGAGAAATGAGTATTTGTAAAATAAATATTATGCTTGGTCATTTAAGTTTGTAACTACAATCACGTTATTTGGAATTAGTCTTGCCTTCATGATTATTATTGTGCGTGCGTATAATTTTTTTAAAAGTTTGAAATCAACAGGGACACATTTTGGACCAGTCAAAGTATTAACAGCTGTTTTTACAACAACTGGTTAAAGTTCTGGGATTTATTACCCAAACTGTCAATATATGAATACGACAGTCGTTGTAACGTTATATAATATCCTGGGAAACATTATTTAGAATACTACGTAAAGCAACAGTTCTCCAATTGTTGATCGCGACCACATGGTAAAATCACGATATCAGCCGATAGGGCTGCGTGGAAAAAAAACACGATAACTCACCCACCTGCTGACTTCACAGTATTAGTCAAAAGCGCAGTGCGACAAGTCGACAACATCACTTGTAATCAAGTTGTGTATGCTAATAATATAGCTGGAGGCCCACCCATCACACCTCCACCAATTTGTTATTACTTCACTTTTTGGATGTTCAAGTACAAAACTTAAGAACCAAAAATGTGACTTATTTCTCTTGTACACAACTATACTTACTATCTTTCATATGAAAGGATAATCCATGCCAAAAATAAGCCCTCCAACCGGAGGCTCAGTGGTATCACAGCTTGCACTAAAATATGGAGTTAGATACCTGCAATGGGCAGAGCACAGATAGCTCATTGTGTAGCTTTGTGCTTAATACCAAACAAAGCCAAAAGTGTTGAAATAAATAAATTATTTAATAAATATCTCGTATCGTTTGCTTCCTTCCTCATTGCTGAGGGTCGAAGACCATGGTTTGTGACATCATAGCCTTCTATACGGCCCTGTTCGTTGACCTTCTGGTGCATTAGGCAAGTGACAATCCTGTCCACTCCTTGATGTTATCTGTCCACCTTCTAGGCTGTCTTCCACGTAAGCGGCATCTCTCAATCTTCCCTTGCAGGATTATGTTGAGAGCTTGTTAGTCCTGGTGCTGTTGCTAAAATATCTCAGCTTTCGTTGTTTAATGTCATCGACAAGTTACCAACCGCCCCACTTCCTCCAGTACTGACTCAATCGTCCGATGGGCTGTCCAGCTTACTTCCGATAGCCATGCAACACTTTGATGTACGTTTTTTTTTAAACGTCCAACTCTCGCAACCATAAACTGCTACCGGCCACACCATCGCTTTTGGTGAGTATACTGACTATATTCATTCATGTATTTATTTCAATATTTATTCTTCTATATGTTACGATAGCTGGGAGCATGCGCGTTGGAGCTTCTGGAAGGATCATGAATTATCGGAGAGGCCCGAGTTTGTTCGAGGCGCCCTCTTTTTTTAGTATATAAGCCTGGCGAGAAAAACCAGCGCAATTGCATGGGCAGATACATTGCAGAGATAGATAACTGAGTCAAGCGAACAGTAGGCACCGTAAGTAAAGTGTGTGAATCACTGTGATTTATAGCGTGTGTTATAAAAGTAGTTAAGTTTAAGGTACTGATTGGAAATTCTGTGTATTACAAAGTTGTATTGAGGAAGAATAAACTAGTTTTAATTTAAAAAGGACTTGTTTCACCGAAGTTCCTCGAAAGAATTTATACCGGAAATTAACAAACGAGCAGATACGTGTATATGTTTATTTAGAAAATTTTTTATCTTCAATTTTAGCATGGATTATCCTCCGTACTTTAAAAAACTTTGAAAATCACCATGTTAACGTGTTGGTTGCGATATTGTTTTGTGTGCTGTGTGGGGGTCGCATAAAGTTTTGTCTCAAAGTTGCGTCACATAGAAAAAGAATGGGAAGCGCTGGTGTAGAGCTTTGGTTCTTATTACAAATATAATAGGATGGAAAGAGTACATAAATAGGCTAATAGAACGATGTATGGTTTAAAAGAAATCTTTGATCTAACTACTAAGTGTAGCTATAAAAATATAAGTTTGGTTGTTGAAACTGACCTCAGTGGAGTAAATAAAATTCTCTCACCCTCAGCACCCGGGGGCAAAGACACTTTTGGTGCCCCCACCTCCGAAATGTTTTGATTATTTGTTTTGCGACTCATTACCCACTTAATGACAATAACATAAAGAATTAATTACCGCCTTACACAGGCCAAAAATAAAATAAAGTCACAAATATAATATATCACAACTGTAAACCTGGAACTAATGAAGTACAGCCATTTTGATATTTATGTCATCCAGTATTGTTCAAAGTCACATAGCTAGAGTAATCTTTCAAGCATGCAGAATAAATTTCTGTTATATCCCTAGTTTTTAAACTTATGTTTTATATGAGAAGCCAGTCACTTGTGGTGTACATCAATGCTCACCCATGCACTGTAGGAACGGCTAGAGCAGATAGTCGTCTAGTAGCTTTGTGCAGAGTGCAACAAAACAACTTCACACTTGCTACCTTCAAAGTTGGCATGGTTAGGTGGTTAGGGCGCTCCACTTGTAATCTGTGGGTCGCGTGTTCGAATCCCAGTACCATCAAACATGCTCGCCCTTTCAGCCGTTGGGGCGTTATATTGTGACGGTCAATCCCACTATTCGTTGGTAAAAGAGTTGACGGTGGGTGGTGATGACTAGCTGCCTTCCCTCTAATATTACACTGCTAAATTAGGGACGGCTAGCGCAGATAGCCCTCATGTAGCTTTGCGCGAAATTCAAAAAACAAACAAACAAAAACAAACCTTCAATGTCCCGTACATATGGCACATGGATAGAAATACGATTAAGCTAAATTTACTGCGCTGTACTAACTAAATGGCTAACTCAATAAAAAAAAAAACAATAACAATCTCCACACCCTAATCTCGCCTAATTTCCGTTTATATATTTTAAAATAATTTTCATTACTTTGAAGAAAATTTCCGACATTAAACCATACACTTATGACGTGACATCCACATTTCCTCTAGCGAAACTACAAAACAAACGTGTAAGTTAAGATAAAAAGGACAGTTTACAACAATAAACTGAAAGAATGTTCACCTTACAATTCCTAGACATTATAAAATTGAAATTTTCTAGTTAAGCTAGCATGCATTTTATGCATTTGAAACTATAGGTGTAGTATTTGGGATAATGTGGAGAATTTTCAGGTTTATTTTAGAAAAGTGAACTGGTTACAAAAATTATATATTTTTTCAAATGTACGTACATACAGATTTGGGCGTGTGTGTATAGATCCGTATACAGAAAAATCAGTTTTGAGTTGTAGTGATATTATTTTATACGCTACTTAAATTTGGTCAAAGCATGCGCCCCAAT